AATTTTATCAATACAGTGCAAAATAAATCTTCATTCTTATAAGCCGCGGGTGTCAAAGATACAGCTCAAGGAGCTGTTTTACATGGGCTGCAAGGCTCCTAGAGAGCTGAGAATTTGGGGACAGGGCATGCAGGGGTAAATTCCTGGGCACAGAGCCTTGCTGGGGATGCTTGGTGGGGGGGGGGAATGCAAGTGAGTGTTGCATCAACTCACCACTTGCCCCACTACTGCCACTACTCACCCTGCTGCTGCCACCAGGTCTGAATCTGGCTCACAAGGAGCTCCCCCACAATCCAGATCTGGCCCAGGGGATTGATCGAGTTTGGCACCCCACTTAGACACCAGCAGCTCTGAAATGTCAGAGAGATTTTACATGAATGGGTAAATCTTAAGATAGGTTTGTTCGGAGAAGGTTGGCCTGTCGCCATGACACTGGCAGACTCAAGCTGCGTTTGGCTGTAAAATGCTGATACATCCTCAGTGCCAAAAAAAAGGGGTTGAGAGCAGTTAAGTTGCTAGGAGCCCAGAGTAATACACACGCTCTCTGCTTTCCATATTGTCCCACTTCAAAGCAGCGTAATGCAGCCATGAAAGTATCCAGGGCTCCTCTCACCCCGCTTTCAACAACATGTGGTGTGTGGGTTAAGGAGCGATATTATGTTCTTTTGGTTTTTTAAAGCAAATTTTTGTTTAACCTCTGCTGTGACCCAAATGAGTGAATGTGTTACCCAGATATGCTCCATTTCTGTTTACTTAACCAGAATGTTTGCTTATTCGGTGACCACTGGAGAGGAACTACTGTTCTGATTAACCCCACAATGAGTATTTGTTGCTTCTTGTTTCCTGACATTTTCGTTATGCTCCTAATTGCAAAGCTCTTGATTGTCAGATAAAAAATGCACGTGTCTATTTGCTCAGGTATTACACAATGGATCTTCTACTGTTAATTAAAGGTCTAGACTCAATGTCTCTGAACCTGCCTCTGGATAGTTGTCCTCCCTGTTTCATACCTGGGATACACCAACAGGAAAACAAGTACAAATCTTGAGGCACTCGAACCACCACTTTTTTTTGTTTTTAAAGAAAATGCCTGTATTTGGAGTTTGCAAAGACTTTTCCTTTTTTTTTTGTTACCAAGATTTCCCTAGGCAATGACATGCAGGCATAAGCAGTTTTCTACTCTTTGCTGTGGCTCACAAGGCATTATGGAATGAAAAGAGGGCTTTTCTCTTGTATTGCCATTGTTGCTGGCAACAGGACAGGCCAGGGCTGGCACTAAGAACAGGATGAAGATAAAACCAGAAGCAAAAGGCTGCTAATACAGCATTTATAAAAAGACCAAGTGATTGGTTGGATTTAGCTCCCAACTAACTTGGAGAAATATGTTTGATGATCCAATGTGAATTTTTTCCTCCCATTTAAAAAACAAAAAAAAAGATTTCTAATGTGGAGCATTTTGGGGATGAACATTTTGCTACGGCAGCATATGAGAATAGTCATTCCGATCCCAAAAGGTATCAATGGACATTTCTAGAACTCATGGTTTATAATTATTTGGAAGTTTTTGAACTCCTGAAGGGAAAAGGGATGAATAGATAGAGCAAAGGTTTATACTTCCAAAATGTGGTTCCCTCACCCCACCAACGTTCTAAAATATTTTGCAACATCTCAGTTTTTTCCAAGCTCAGAGTCGCCTCGATGCAACAGCAAAAAAACACAAAATTGTTTTGAGCTGATTAGTTGGTATGGCTAACAAACAAGTTTGTACAGGTTTGGGAATCCAGTTCTCTTCCTGACACTGCCACATACTTCCCGTTTGACCTTATGCAAATCACTTGACTTCAGTGACTCATCTTCCCATCTGCAGAATGTGGGTAGCGCCACTTACTAGCATCGTAAAGAGTTGTAGCAATTAATTATGTTACTGTGTGTAAACCTCTGAGAACATCATGTGGAAAGAGTTGTAGAACTGTAAATGATTATCATCAATGAATATATTTACTATATACACCTCACAAAGCTGGTGCAAAATTTTCTAGCAGGGCAGTTTCCACTTGGAAAATGTTAATTCAGTTGAAATGTTCGTGGAAACATACTGAATGTATTCACATTGTCAAAGCTTTAAAAATTACCCAACCAAACATTTAGTTTTAATAAGGTCAAAAGGCCTTGTTTCATGAAATTACCGATCTCATTTCAATTTTTATATAAAATGTAAATATGCATATTTTATATAAAAAAGTGAAATAAAAAGTCAGTCTTATCATCTAAACGTACTTTAGTCTTTGGCTTCTCTAAGGTTATAGAATTTTTTTGCTAGAAAATTCAGAATTTCACCGAATTCTCTGGGCAGAAGGGATTTTTGAGATGTCAATGTTTCCTGTGGAACAGAAATTCTGAGTCTGGGCCTGTTTAGTATCTATGGTCAACCATGTCCATCCTGACACTCATAGTATAACCCCAACCAAAGCAATTAAAAAGCCCTAAATGTAGGTACTGAATTTTCATCAGGATTCTGTAAGGTGAATGAAATATTTTGATGAGGAATTAGTCAAAATATTGATCAAAATTGGAAAGACTGAGAGATTCATGAAAGCATTTGTTCTTGTGAGAAAATACATTTTCTTCATGGAAAGAACCATAACTCAAAAAATTCAGGTTATTGGGTCAAACACCTAGCACTTGTGAGACTAACCCTAAGCTAGGAGGTTTACCTATCACTAATGGAGTCAGAATGAACTATGCTGTGGCATCAACATCATGTGAGAAGGGTCCCAAAACTGTGGTATACAACTTCATCCTGCACGACCAAATGAAATCTATGGGTGGACTGATACAACCTTTTGCTCTGGATAGGAGTTCTGAAGCCAGAGGATTCAACAGCTATTATTGCAGTTATTTTCAGAAAAGTCAGTTGTCCATAGAAAATAATTAGTTGCGCACATCTTTATGGTATTTATTAAATGGGTGTAACTGGTTGTATTAATGTTTCTATACCAAGCTAACGGAGGATTATGATTGCTGCTTAATTAAAAAATACCAGAATTTCCATCATCCTATACACACCCAAGCAATGCTATTATGGTATAAGGCTTCAACATTACTATTATGATTCATAATTTCTTAGTACTCCAAATGCATACATATTAAGACATAAAACCAAGTTATGTATTCGGGCTAAAAAGCTCGATTGATCTGCACAAATCAGGTAAGTAGACACAAAAGCATATAATAGGCATGTCGTTGTATCATCTCTATTTGCACATTTTTATGATCAGAAATCCTTTATTTGTGAGCATAATGGGGATTCGTGCCGTTTAGCAGGTGCTTCTCTTGCTCTGTGTTTTGAACCTATGGCAAAGTAGCCTTCAACCCCCAAATAATTCTGATTGTAGTTAGGATATCACCGGAGCTGTGAGGTAGAGTTCATGCAGGTTTTTCACTAAAAAGCATTTAATTTTGGTTAACAGGATTGGCTAGGAAATGTTCACAGATCTGTAGATAAAATGGTGCCAGGAGACTGTTGGTACCAAAGACGGCAGAGCTATTGACTCGTGCCAAGGCTTGCCTTCAGTCAGCCCATCTGTAAATGAGTATGACATACACACACAGACCCACACACCCTACCCCTTCCTAGAAAAAGTGTAGTAGAGCATGGACAACATTTGAAAGACTTACCCTGAGCTGGGAATCCTCATCTTACAGCTTTAAGAATACTGGCTGTCAACCTGCTTGGTCTTAACCGCTGTCAGTCCTGTTCAAATCCACTCAAGTTTTAAACTGATTCTTGGAAATCTAGTGGTGTCAGACATACAGCATGTGAGGTAGATGTGCTGTGCGCACCTGTTTAAATGATTTATCTGGGAATTGTGTCAGATTCAGATCCTTCAAGTGCAAACTTTCAAAATTTAACACCTTGAAGTGTCAAGTTCCTGGCACTGAAAAAACTGCCAAACCTACCAAATATGAGCTGAGTAACAAATACAAAACCTATGCACAGTTGTCCTCCTGGATAACTGGAGCCTGCTTGAAACAAGTACAGCTCTAAGTCAAGTAAGCTGATTCCTATTCATTTAGCAGGCTATTAAGATTCTGACTAATGATGACAATTTAAGAGCCAGATTTTCAAGCCATTACAGATATAATTATATCCCCAACTTAAATAGTTCTTGCACTTATGTGAGTAAGCTGGGGATATAAATAAAAGAAAAAAATACAAGTGGCCCAAAACTTGACCTGAATTTTTTTACTTAATTATGTTTTACTGAGTGATACCAAAAAGCAACAGAACCATTTCTAAGTAAACAGTAACTGCACTTACTCAAAAAGTTACTGCTACACATAGACCATATTTTGTTTTCGATCTCTTGGCACAAACCTCCCACTTTTCAGCAGATCTTACTCCATAAAATAATGAGACTGTATGACTTATTTGACTTCTTCAGGGGCCGTAATTAACAGTGCAATTTTGCAAAATTAGAGTAACATCCCTGCTATCATCTGTGTAATAGGCCAGTTATAGTTAGATTCTGATTTTTTCACCAGAGGTTTAAAGTGTTCTTATCATTTGTATGTAGACAAGCATGTATATCAGCAAATTGTTTTTCAGCTCACAAAGGTTTTTTTTGTGTGTGTTTTGTTTTGCTTTAAAGGCTTCAAGGATATTAGCTACAGTCTGAACATTGGGAATGAATATTGTCTGGAGCTTGTATCTAAAAGCCTATTTGAAATAGCATAGCATAATAAAAGAAGTGTTGCAAACTCGTGCTGGAACTCTGTTCAAAGCCAAGCTAGTAACTGGGCCAAAAATTTCCTATGAAAAATAAAAACAGAATCATTGAATCCTCTGCAAAAAGCTGCATCAGCAATGGAAGCTTAACTCAGCAACAGGGTATTTAGCTTTGTTCACACAATAATTACATCACAAAGAAGGATATGAAGGATTTCAAGGGAGTATAGCCATCACTTTAAAGGCACAAGAATAAACAGATGACATCATGGCCAAAAAAGGAACCATTGGAGAGCAAAACAAATAGTGTTACAGCATTGAAATGACTCTGTTTGGTGGTTAGATGAAATACTTTGCATTAGTCAGCTGAATTGAAAACATAATCAAACAGACTAAATTAAAGACAGCCCCATGAAACTGTGAGAGCCAAACTGAGCTATGTGAGACATGTACAACATAAATCAAATACGGAATTTCAGACTCGATACACAGTGGTGAATAAGTTATCACGGCCCACAATAAGGCTTATATGATTCATAATTTTATATAAAAGAAATCCTGGAAAAGCAGGAGATCTGAGAAACTTATATCATGTGAGCATTCAGGTGAGTAGCTTTTTATTTTGTGTCTCAAATGATTAAAATAACTTTGAAGTGAGCTTAGTTACAAGGTGAAGTGCTTAAGTTGTTTACAAGTTAATATGTAGAGGCCCTGCTAATAGCTGACCTAAATGCAAATCTGAGGCCATCTGACAAATATAACAACATAAACTACGTGTCATGCAAATTGCCATCATCAAAATTACAAAGCTTGAAAAATAAGACTTCTTCTGAGTTTGCCTGCTTGCTACGATATTTAGAGTCTGATTTTTATCTAACTTACATTACTGTCAACCAAGAATAATTCCGTTGAGGTCAATGGCCTTATACAATTGCAAAGTAAGTGAGAGGACAATTCAGGTGTTTGTGTGCTCTAAATTCTTCTCTTAGCAGCAACAGCAGTAATGGAAGGTGGTAGCACCCCCTTCTGAGATAGGTTGGGTGAACAAACAAGAAAAACCTGCTGGGCATGTAAGCCCAAACCTATAGGAGGAGCTATAGCCATTATCTCACTCTGCTGGTGCTTCCCCCTCTCCCATTTCATTTGAGATTTCTGAGGTTGAGCTATGTTCCAGATTTTAATCTGTGAGAGTGGACTGGAGCGACATGGCTTCCATATTATTGTATAGACAAATAAAAAAGTATGAAACAAGGATGGGCTGGTGCTATGGGGTTGTGTTTGCATCTTTATTACAGGGGTAATATCTACCCTTCCCCCCTTC